GCCAATTTAAATGGAGAAGTGTATGAAGAGTTCTTGAAAAATCACTTGTTTCCATTAATGGAAGACGTCCCATTGGCGACGAGACAAAATATGCGGTTCCAGCACGACGGCTGTCCCGCACACTACAGTAGAATAGTACGGGCGTATTTAGACTCTAAATTTCCAAATCAATGGATTGGCAGAGGCGGGCCCATTGCCTGGCCAGCAAGAAGCCCAGATCTCACACCGATGGATTACTATGTGTGGGGGCATATGAAAAGTCTGGTATACGATGTTTTGCCCGTACCAACGCGCGATAAATTAATTACAAGGATAATCAGTGCAGCTGACCAAATAAAAAGCCGCTTAACAACTAAAGTTACCAAAAGTGAATTACGTAAGAGAATGCGGGCGTGTATTCGTAACAGGGGATTACAATTTGAGCAGAATCTATAAAATACTAAAGGAAATGTAATTAAATAAAACTGTAATTAAAATAAAAGCCTTTTATTTATCCTACGTAGTTATCGTTCGTACAATTTTACTTATCTTTTATTAATTTTATGTCTTTGTACTTGAGTTAGTTGTAACTTTTATACCTCAAATGAAAGCTTGTTTGATAGAGATACTATTTACATAATTTGCACGTTTCATTACTAGGAGATTTTTACAGAAAATTGCATTTTTTATCGAATCAGTTAGTAAAAAAATAAGAAAATCATACATTTCAAAAGCGTAATTTTAAAACTTTTGTAAGTTTTCAACATTTTATTACTTATTATGAACTATTGGAATGTCCGCTATGCGACGATAACAAAAAACTCAAAATCAAACATGTAGTTTTTTTGTATTTCAAATTTAACCGTCTGAAATCGAAATAAAAAATAAAAAAAAATAAAATTCATATAACTCAAAAACGGTTAACTTCTGGATAGGACAAAATCGGTTGCCTTTGACCTAATCTATCACCCCTTAACAGGAATACGTGACATTACAAGTCACCCTGTATAACTCTTTAACAAGTTACGCTGACAAGCTGCCGTCAAAAAGTAGATACGAGAAAGCCTTATGTAAACAGTAATGGCATTACCGCCTGAGTGCTTTGACAACCTTCGACGAGCAACCGCGCTCCAAACCTCGTTACTGGGAACACGAAAACTTCCAACTTTTTTGTTAAACGTCTTCGCGGGTGATTTCCAGCATGAATTTCGCCGGGATCTGTCAGAAATCTTGTAATTTATCGTTCAGAGACGTGGTGCTGGGCGTGGAGTAGGGTGGGAAGATACGGTGGTTATTTATGCGGGAAACTGAAAAAGACGCAAACTCAGTAATGGAAAACTTCGGTGTACCGATACAATTTGCCAATTCTAGCATCCATATGCTAATAAATGCAGATTCGACAAGCTTTCACATGGAATATGGAACCTTCGAATAACAATATCGTTTTAAAAGAAAGACCTTTTGTCGGAAAATCTTAAACTTTTAGATTGGTTTTATTTTAGTTTTATATAATTTTTAATATTTCCCGAAAAAAGTGTGCAATATTCTACCAGCGGTTTCTAGAGCTTAAAATAGGAAGAAAAGTTTACATAAACATAGGTCGACAAACGTCCTCTAAGGGCGCTACAGTTTTGTTTGGAAGCAATTTTTGTGTGATTCTATTTTTGAAATTCAATTTTAGAATTCGAAAATTTAGGGTTTTATACGTTAAAAAGGTACTCTTATTGAATATCGATAGATTGTAACCATTTTTGAATAAAATCAAACTATAGAATTTGTCATATGATAGGAGATGTACTGCGAATTTAAATGAATTGTTGATTATACATAGTTAGCCATGACTGCAAACAAAAGTTGTTTTGATCTGTTATGACTTATTTTGACGTTAAGCTGACATTGTTAGCAGTGTAAAATTACTGGATTAAAATTAAAATTTTTATTAAATCGATTTAAAGTGACAAGATGTACAGACAGAGAACTGACTGACATGCATTTTGTGTACGGGTTTTGCTATGGCAGTTCATTGGCAGCCGTAAGAGAATATCAAAGAAGATTTCCCAATCGCATAGTACCTGGACGTCGAACGTTTACTGATATTCACCGGAGTTTGTCAAACCATAGAAGTTTTCAGCGCATGCAGGGCTCAGGAAGGCCACTGGGAAATCATCGTATGGATATTGCTTTAAATATGTTTGAAAATAATCCGCAAATAGGCTTACGAAATGTTTCAGAAATTATGGATATACCTCGATCAATAGTAAGAAAAATTTATGAATACCTATTTGATAGCTATCCTAAAAATAATAATTTTGGATAGGAAGAATGACAAGAATGCAAGGATTACATCCTTATCATTTTAAACGGGTGCAGCATTTAACGGAGGCAGATTGTTTACCACGAATCGAGTTTTGCCGGTGGATATTAGAAAATGAAAACACTATTCCTAGAATGTTATGGTCGGATGAGTCAATATTTATTAGGAATGGTGCGTTTAATTTCCATAACATGCATCACTGGTCAGATGAAAATCCAAAAGTTGTTCGTCGTACAAATTTCCAACATAAATTTTCATTGAACTTATGGGCAGGAGTACTTGGGGATCAGGTAATTTGGCCTATTGTACTTCCCAGTCGTCTTAATTCAGAGGTGTATCTGAACTTTCTTCAGAATGAGCTCATGTATATAATACCATTGGATGTGCGCCAGCAGTTTCAAGAAAAATTGCGTGACCGAATCACAGTTGCTGCCGATAATATGAGCCTTCAAGCACAGCAGGAATTAGTGCCTTTTTCAAGCAAGTGAACCGTTAAACTGTATTATTTTATTATCTCGATTTCTGTAGGACTTTCATTACATTTTTTTGTAAGAAATCAACTTCTTTCGTTTCGCATATGTGGTTAAAATTTGTCGGATAAGTTACGAAACACCCTGTATACCTTGACTTAGAGATGTTAGCTTCCCAATATCATGTTAATCTTTGTTACTAATTTTATAGCTTCTTTCATCTATTATATGTCTCAAACAAATTGTTTCTGCTACACTTAATGTTTTGTAAAATAATTTTGACATAGAACTTCAAGCAGGTGCAGCGTAAAGTTGTTTACTCCTTACATATGCTTTTTGAAATTGCAAACTTTAATTCCTGACTTATAGTGGCGAGAAAATATCTATGCGTAGGATGCGTAGGTAGATATATTTTCTCTCCGCCACAGCATTTTTTTCTCAGATGTAACAGATGCTTTTGTGGTTAATTTTCTGTCTAAGTACACCACTAAATAATTACTTGTTTTTTTTTCTCAATGATTTGATTATTCAGCTTTGGCAACGAATGAAAGCTGAACATCTATCCTCTATACAAGATATAAGATCGGAACAAGACAGCACAAAGTATTACCAGAATTGTGTGCGATTTGCTCTTTTATCTATCAACGATTAGCTAGGACTCCGCCCAACTAGCAAAGTAGTGGTATAAGCTTTTGGTAAAAGAACCGTTCAGCCATAAAAGCTCTCTATTGTTGTTGCCTGAACACCAAAATGCTGGCTTAATGTTGTGCGGAATGCAGATTTGCTTTCTGCAACATATTTGCTCTAAAATGAAGTGTTTAAAATATTTTTATAGCACAGTTGTACAACACCTTATAGGGCAAATTTTTAACTGTTGCATAAACGTTTATACAACTATTTTATACGGGATATTTGCACGTTAGTCAAAATGGTTGTGTTGTGGTATCCATGGTAACGTTTATAAAACAAACCCGAGCCTTGTTGTTTTGCTGTCCATATTACTACTATAGCCAACAAGTTGCTCCCAACGCAAGCACTTATACAACTGTTGTTTAGTAACTGTTAAAGGCTGTGCATATGCTTAATATGTTGGTAAACAACTTCACCATAACCTAACTTTCTGCTGTCATATTTTTGTAAAATGCCATAACCAATGTTTTAAGACAAACAACGCATGCATATCGGTTCAAAAGGTTTTATCAACTGTTCAAACAGAAGATATAGATCTGGTACAAATTCTGGGTAACTCATCCGACTGTGTCGGTATTTCATTTCAGACATTTGTCAAATTGTTGTATAACACCTGCAGGCAACACCAAAATATTCTAATAACCTAAAGACAACATGGACGATGCCATGAATGTACACAACCACCCGCCATATTGGGCAAACATTTATTCCTCCATTTAATATTAAATAATTATGTTTCAGTTCGAAATTACAGATATAAAATGATAAACATTAGTGTAATTGTGTGTAAATATAGCATTTGTAGAAGATTTAACGCAGATAAGTTCAGTTTTCCATCTTAAAAATCTAGACATACTTTTGATCATTGTCAAAATATGAATCAAATACGAAGCCCGTAGAAATTGGGCAACTAATCCGCACAATAATCACAATAAAATTTGCTGCGCAAGTAATTCAATAGCCCTATATCACAGTGTAGAAGTTTATCACATACCTGTGTATGAAATTCACAATGGCCGATATGTAAGTAAACAAGATGACTGTAATGTGTTAGCTATATGTTCTTCACTTCGTCTATGTCTATACAATACATAAGAAATAGTTTGGTTGCAATAAAGTAGAATCACGTAACAGAATAGTTGTATAGTTGACAAAACTGAATCTTGCACTGACGCAAATGTCCTATAGCGGCTGCAAGAGGCTTACACTTTTGTTTTATAACTGTTACCTGCAGCCCTTATACAACCTCTTAAATGACTGAAGTGTCCTATTAGGTGTGGCCATTCCGCTTGTATAGCTGTTCTAAGCTGGTTTTGCCAATGTTCTAAAAGTATACAATGCTGTTTAAGCAATACTGTATAATCATTCTTGCAACTCTAATAGGAGTGATAATTGTTAGTTGGGCGTACCTTATAACCAAAATACGCTATGTTTCATTGAATTTATATTGTTTGTTCACTTAATTTCGCTCTAATTTGAAGGTAGAGGCTTCTAAAAATATCTGTAACTCGAAATTCTCCTATTACAAAGATAATAACAGGTCTCACCTTAGGGTGCCATATATGGAAGATTCCAGGATCCGTGGCCCGAATGACCTTCATGTTGCTCCTCACATATTTTCTGTACAGCATCACGTCTTCGCCTCCCCAGCCCACAATGTCCTCATCAAAGCCACGGACTTTCAGAAAATCCGACCTGGAATAGGAATATGTCTTTTAGAAACTTTACTAATTGCTTTTCCGATGGAAAATAATGAGTTTTACTTCGGTTTTCTGTATTATGAGAAATACCATTTTCTTTCAACAGTAAGTTTTCAGCTAATGGTCAGCAGAGCAATTTGTGATTAGAGCTTTTCTTGTTAGCCTCCGATCATTATGTTTGGTTGTTTTCTTATGATGTTTTGTCAATTTGAAGAGGAATTTTTACTTTGCTGCTTCTTATACTCTCGTCTCGCTTCGAAATACTGGTAAAAGTAGGTAAAGTTTCTTATAATTTGAGTACTTTATTTTACGTTTTACGAGAAGTTCATTTGTTTATTTGTCGATGTTTGGTCTTTTTGAATAGTTCAGGAAGTAGAACATAAATTAATTAGGCTAATGATTTCTTAGTTCTACCTCGAAAGGTTTGGTGAAGTTGGTAACTAAAAGATTTCGATATCTGCGAATTTCACTTTAAAACTTATTATTATTACAATTTTCATTCACTTGGTGGTGGTATTGGGAACTTTGCAATCTAAAACAGTACTTACAATATCTTTGCTCCAGCGCCTTGTACGGTAAAAACAAAGCAGATACTATTCCCTAAATTTTATGTACCTTAGATTTTTGTGGAATGGATAGCGAAAGAGTGCAACACCGTTTACTCTAATACAAATGCATGGGTAGTCTATGACAGTTTCAACGGGGACATCATACTCGTATCTTTTTTTGTGAGTTGGACTGTTTCGGCAAGCGAGCCGGCAAATATTCCATTACATTTTCCCACCCGTTTTCCAATATGACCACACGGGCAACATGAATACAAATTAGCAAAGTGAACATTTGCAGGGACTACCGCGAAACATTCCAAAGGCAGTGGTGACGGAAGCTTCCTAAAACGTTCGTATTAGTATTAACTTTGCGGAAACTGTCAATAGTAAAAAAATGTTCATCATGTAAATTGTAAAAAATGTAGCCTTGTCTAGATCATAAAGCTGAGTAACAGCGAGTATAGCAAAAAATAGATTTTGGGCATTATGTAAAAAACTTATAAAACGTCAAAAAAACTACTAGGTAGTTTTTAGGGTGCAAACAGTCATTCCACGTTTGCTCACTATAGTCGTTGTGAGCGTCCATCTATGGAGAACTACACGCATTGTTGGTTGCGTATGTTTTGTGAAGCCGAGTTAGTCTACAGCTTTTATCTCTGACAAGAAAGTTGGTTGATACTCGTGCGGCAGCGTTATTACATAAAAAACCTAAAAAAATCAATGAAATGTCAACTTGTTGAATAGATAGGTCCTAGCAAATAGCTCATCTGGCGTTTGCTCGGTATTAGCGCTGTGAGCGTCATCTACGGAGGAATAAATAAACGACACGCTCAATGACCCAGCATGCTTTGTTGGTTGCAGATTGCCGGCATAATCTGTAGAACAAGAAATGGTTCAGTAGCAAGATAGCATCTGGATGATTTAGTGTTGGTTGTATTGGTTTGCGTGTGTATAAAATAAGTGATATTTGCTGTTTGAGAAAATCATTACTGAATATGCTGCCAATAAAGTAAATATATTAGCTGTGCCGGGTTATTTTACGTTGTCACTTCCGAAGGCAGGTTATGTACAAAGTTATAAATTACGATTTATTACGATTTCTTTTGTGTTTCCAAATGAAATCACCACCGCGCTCGCATTGTGTGTAATTACTGCTAAAATATATACAGGGTGTCCCAGAAGTCGACGTCAAGTCGAAACCGGGTGATAGGCCAAGTCATAACAGCTATCAGAAAAATATTTAAAAAAATTTTATGTATGTGTTTTGAAAATTATAGGTCTTTGAAAAAAATATAGAAATTTCACACCCTACGGCAGTCTGTCAACTCCTGTTACTACAAATATTAACTTTTTTTGGATTTTATTTTTACAATGTAATGATGAATAATGCGTCTTCAAACTGGTGTCCCAACCTTACTGCCAACTTTTCTCGTTCAGGAAAAATTGCCACTTATTTCCCAACCAAGTATTCCAAAATAAAACTTTGCTCAACTTTAACTGGCTGTACTGGAAAAAATGTACTACGAGAGTTTGGCAAGTAACCTTAAAAATTGGCGCAATCCAAAATGGTATAACACTTAGAAGATTACTCGTTAATTTTTATTTGAAGAAAAACTGATGAAAATTTTTCAAATTTCCTAATTAAACAGCGATTATGAAAACGCACAAGGACCCTTAAGTATAACTGTTTGCACAACAATGGGCGTCAAAATGCTGCTGATGATGACTTACCTTTACATCAAATGCTCAAACTGTTTTCCTTCAGCCGCAATACACACTCGACATCTTCTTAAAAAAGATCGGGTTATTAAACGAGCGAATCCACGGTTATTAACAAACTCAGCTGCTTCCAATAGTCTTTGCCGTAGCTCAGCTACATTTTGAATCGGCTTGAAATACACTTTTTCCTTTACAGTTCCCCAGAAAAAAAAATCTAACGGATTCAAATCTGGTGTTCGGGCTGGCCACGGTATTGTACCAGACCGCCTTATCCATCTGCCTGGAAAGTTTTGATCGAGATACTCTCTCACTGAGAGTGCATAGTGCGCTGGGCAGCCTTCATGCTGAAACCACATGTCCCTGTAAATACTGTGGCACGTCCTCCAATAAATTTTCTAAATGATTTTGCAAAAAACCTAAATAAACCTCAGCAGTCAAAGTCTCTGGGAACTCAAACGGACCGATTATTTTACCATTTAAAATTCCTGTCCAATGGTTTATCTTGAAGCGATATTGAGATTTATCTTCTCTCATCAAATGTGGGCTTGCTACGTGCCACTCGTGTAAGTTATGCAGGTTCATGTACCCATCTTTCTTAAATGTGGTCTCATCTGACCATAAAATTTTTTCAAAGAACCGTGGATCTTCCCTGTGTCTTTCTTGTTACAATGTTTTGTGCGACAAAAACAACTCGGGGCTCATAATCCCGGGGCAGAAGAGCTTGAACACGCTGTACGTGGTATGGATGGAGCACGTTTTTTTGCAAGATTCTATGGGCTGTACTTTTGGGCACACCCGTTTTTAGTTCTATTGCACACACTGAAGTGCTCGGGTCTTCTTCGACAGCTCCTATCACCACGTCTTCGTAAGGAAGGAAAGATCTTCCCTCACCGTGTGATTGGTTTGGTAGTTGGCCCTCTGAGAACAGTAAGCGGTGCACATTTGTGAACACTCGATGATCTGGATGACGAGCTGCATTCGGGTACCTCTCACAGTAAAATCTCGCCGCAGCACTAGCGTTGCATCTGCATTCCCCATAAATGAGGTGCATGTTAGCATATTCTTGTACGGTGTACACGGACATAGCGGCACTACACAATCACACTATCAAAAATAGTCTAAGAAAAGCAAATGTTGTTTTGAAGAGCAATTAAACAGTCCAAATCCAAATCACAAGCGATCAACAGTCCAGTTCACGAATCCAAAATTAGTAACAGTACGAAATCAACAAACACGAACATGTGAAGATGCGCAGTAAACGAAGGAGTACTGATCGGTATCAAAGTGTGCAATAGCAAGTAAGTGATGTGCTTCATCCATACCACATACTGCGTGTTGAACCTCTCCTGCCTCGGGATTATGAGCCCCGAGTTGCTTTTTGTCGCACAATGTTAGAAAGACACAGGAAAGATCCACAGTTCTTTGAAAAAATTTTATGGTCGGATGAGACCACATTTAATAAAGATGGGTACATGAACCTGTATAACTTACACGAGGGGCACGTAGCAAACCCACATTTGATGAGAGAAGATAAATCTCAATATCGCTTCAAGATAAACCATTGGACAGGAATTTTAAATGGTAAAATAATCGGTCCGTCTGAGTTCCCAAAGACTTTGACTGCTGAAGTTTTTTGAAAAATCATGTACAAAATTTATTGGTGGACATGTCACTGAGTATTTACAGGGACATGTGGTTTCAGCATGATGGCTGCCCAGCGCACTATGCACTCTCAGTGAGAGAGTATCTCGATCAAAACTTTCCAGGCAGATGGATAAGGCGGTCTGGTACAATACCGTGGCCAGCCCGATCACCTGATTTGAATCCTTTAGATTTTTTTACTGGGGAACTGTAAAAGAAAAAGTGTATTTCAAGCCGATTCGAAATGTAGCTGAGCTACGGCAAAGACTATTGGAAGCAGCTGAGTTTAACCGTGGATTCGCTCGTTTAATAATCCGATGTTTTTTAAGAAGATGTCGAGCGTGTATTGCGGCTGAAGGAAAACAGTTTGAGCATTTGCTGTAAAGGTAAATCATCATCAGCAGCATTTTGACGCCCACTGTTGTGCAAACAGTTATCCTTAAGGGTCCTTGTGCGTTTTCATAATCGCTGTTTAATTAGGAAATTTTGAAAAATTTTCATCAGTTTTTTTTCAAATAAAAATTGTGCATAAGTTAACGAGTAATCTTCTAAGTGTTATACCATTTTGAAATCGTTATTAAATGCGCCAGCTTTTAAGGTTACTTGCCAAACTCTCGTAGTACATTTTTTCCAGTACAGCCAGTTAAAGTTGAGCAAAGTTTTACTTTGGAATACTTGGTTGGGAAATAAGTGGCATTTTTTTCTGAACGAGAAAAGTTGGCAGTAAGGTTGAGACACCAGTTTGAAGATGCATTATTCATCATTACATTGTAAAAATAAAATCCAAAAAAAGTTAATATTTGTAGTAACAGGAGTTGACAGACTGCCGTAGGGTGTGAAATTTCTATATCTTTTTCAAAGACCTATAATTTTCAAGACGCATACATAAAATTTTTTTAAATATGTTTCTGATAGCTGTTATGACTTTGCCTATCACCCGGTTTCGGCTTGACGTCGACTTCTGGGACACCCTGTATAAACTGTCATTCGACAGCGTACAGTAAGTATTTCTTATCTCTCTCATTTTTGAAATTCATCCATTGCATATGTAATTTACAGAATGGATAAGAAAAAGTGAATGCGCTACTAATTTCTAACTTTGAATCTCAAGTAAGTGTATTTGAGACAAGAATCCAATGGAATTATCATCAAGACATATCATTAGCACACAAATCCTCACTATGCACTTATGCATTGCCGTTACCACCAGTAGTGCCATCTGTGTGGCAGATTTTACATCATGTCAGAGCCAAACATTGATAATTGTAGCCTGATGATGTTTAGGCAACACGTACAACGACAAAACGAGTTCAAGACGTGTGCATCAGCTAGGGCTAAGTTATTATCTTGTAGAAAAACCTACATAATATTACAGAAAACCCATATAATGTCAAAAATTGAGATAATGCCACTTTTAAAGAAACGTAATACCCGTGCGGTCACAATAATAGGAATTAACAAACATATGAGGACACTAATTGAAGCTTCCTAAAACGTTCCACGTAGAAGTACCTTATCGTTGAATCAACACACGATACCCTCATACTTCACCAAAGCTCTTAACCGTACATAAAATGCTTATCATAAAATTTGTAGAAAATGACGTCTTGCCTAAGTCGTGGAGCTACTTTCATCGTATAGAGGAAAAAAGAAAAAACAGTAAATAAACTGTTTTTGGATGTCGTTTACCAGTATAGTGGCACGGGCGACAAGGGTACAAATTAGCAAAGCAAATGCTAGTGACGATTACCGAAAAACATTACAGAAGCAATGGTGCCTGAAATTTCCTAAAACCTCCCAGAAAGAAGCACCTTACTGTTGGATCAGTAAACGAATTCCTCATATTTGTATTAGAGTAAGCTTTGCCAAAACTCACAATGATACAAAAATGCGAATCATATCAGTTGCAGAAAATGTTGTTTAATCTAAATCAGGGCTGTCCAACATACAGCCCGCGGGCCGCATGCGTCCTGCGAACTCCTTTCTTGCGGCCCGCTTCACGGGTCATGTATACATCACAGGTATAAATTACTCTCAAATACCGAATATGCACAATTCTTGCATTAACGATAAAATATAATAACATGTGACGCCACTGGGGACCGATAGCAGGCCGCAGCGAATTTACTGGAAATTGGACCGATCTCTCGATCATCCCCGAATATTCGAGAAGCCACGGGCGCGTATATAACAAGGTTGAATCAAGCGGGACAGGCAGTTTTGTTCTCTAGTGCTATTGCGTTTCAGTACACAGCAACTCTAAAGCCTTTTTAAGTGAAATACTCCGTGAAATATGTCTTCACAGAAACTAAAAAACTAAAACAACAAACAAGTTTTTTCAAAAAATCTGACTCTGATAACAAGTGCAGTATTGCCGCCTCTTACAAAATAGCGCTGGAAATTGCCAAAGCAAAAAACCTTTTAGTGATGGAGTGCTTATCAAAAGGTGTGCGATAGAAATGGCGAAACAATTCAATGAATTAAAAGTTGCCGAAAAATTTGAAACAGTCTCAGTATCGCATTAAACAATTGCAATACCATATCAATGAACATGTATCCAAAAAATTGCGTGACATGGTTGAAAAATGTAAATATTTTTCGCTATGCCTGGATGAAAGCACTGGTCTGTCTGACATTAGCCAGCTTGTAATTTTTATCCGAACTATTCAAGACGACTTCAGTGTAGCAGAGGAGATGCTTGACGTTATTCCTCTCTATGGTACAACCAAGGGTACAGATATTTTTGAAGCTGTGAATAAGTTGGTGTCAGACTACAGAGGATTTGATAAATGTTCCTGTATTGTCAATGATGGCGCCGGAGCTATGACAGGGACTGAAATTGGATTTGCAGGACTATTGAAACAAAACAGCATCAACTGTTCTATGATACATTGTATTGTTCACCAAGAGAGCTTATGTGGAAAATCTTTACGTCAAATAAATGTCATGAAAGTAGCTGTTAAAATAATTAATATTGGTAGAGGGGAAATCGTGCTTTGACTCACAAAAAGGTTCATGAATTTTTGGCCGAAGTGGATGCTACATATGGGGACTTGTTACTTAACATCGATGTTCGTTGGTTAAGCGCCGGAAAGTGATTGCAACGATTTTTCGCTCTACGCAAGGAAATTCCTATTTTCCTTAAAAATGAAGTGAAGTCCGACACTACGGAACTGGAAAATCAAATGACAGATGCACAATTTTTAGCAGACCTTGCATTTTTAACATACATGACATTTCACTTTAACGAACTGAATTTGAAGCTACAACGAAAACAGCAGAATATTGCCAACTTATTTGGACACATAAATGGGTTTAAGAATAAAATTAAGCTTTTCCAGTCTTCATTACAAAAAATGATTTTTCATTTTTTCCAAGTTGTAAAGAACATTTCGAAGAAATGAAGGATTTTGAGGAAGTTTCATATTTACCTCATATAAAATACATTACAGAAGAATTCAAAAATCAATTTAGTGACTTTAAAAAAATTTAAAACGACATTTCAGTTTTTACTCAGCCACTAAAATTTTTGTTGAGAACGTAAGCAGAGCAGACCTTGAACTGGAATTGTGTGATTTGCAATCAGATCCTTTTTACCAAGGAAGAACTGAAACTGGCTTGGACTTTTTCAAGTTACTGCCAGGAGAACGATCCCCCAACTTGCGAAACTTAGGACTTACAATAGGATCAATGATGGGAAGCACGTATCTTTGCGAAAGCAGCTTTTCCAACATGAAATTTATCAAGTCAAAGTATAGATATTCCCTCTCTGATAAGTCACTTCTCAGTTACTTTGTTTACCAACAACAAATATTAATGTTAATATTGATGCATTAGTATTAGAAAACCAACATCCTCAAATGTCCCACTGATTTTTTTGTAATTTCATATTTTTTGAATAAATAAAAATAATAGAAAACTATTTTTATATACCATATAGTATAGTATATAACTAATATTAAATATATTAAAACTCAGTAATAATGTTGTATAGAAAGATTTCATAATGCGGCCCTCCAAACTGCATTTTTTTTTTGAAGTGGCCCTTGGGCCCACATTAAGTTGGACAGCCTTGATCTAAATCATATAGCTACCTTCATTGCACGATGAGTAAAAAATAAACGTAAGGAAAAAAGTTGCTTTTGGGGAATACATCCAAACTCACGGAGATATTAAAATTTCCAATTTTCCCTGATCTTTCCTGGCAACCATATTATTGAGAAGTATGTAACCTGTGAAATAGACTTTTCAAAGTCGAAGGTTGGTCTTAAATTCTGCTATTTTTATTTTATAAAATTCAAGTATACTCAGTGTTACTGGCACCATCATCAAGACAATAATTCTAAATTACGTTAAAATCCTCTAAAAAATACCACTTTCGATTAAAATTGGCCAATTTATTAGAAAACTTTATTTATTTATTTAAATCATGCTGTTAAGGCCGGCCATCAAGAATTTTGGATTCTAGCCTATGAAATATATTTATTCTTGTCCACCTCCTTCTGCGGTGGTTGGGTAAAGAGCGATATCTACCCTTTTATTTACTTTTGTCATTCTTCACTTGCCAATCCCTTGTTGTACTGTGTTGTGTACTGACCCTGGCAATAACAATGCTCGACATAGAGAACTAATTCCACCAGTCCCCAAATTTTTTTTTATTTAATGTGCACCCAAAGCAAATTCGCGCAAAGCTCGCTATATTGCGGCCCTGGGGCAATAATGGTGACGATGACGTTGATAAACGCCCCCAGCGGAAATAAATATGTTATTCCAAAAGATAAATAATCCCAGTGCATGGCGGATTTGGAAACCCATACCTCGATCATAAACAATAATTCCTCTATTTATTCTGGATATGATGTAAACAGCTTCCGTTTCAATTAACTATTATTAATTACCAGTTTACTCAAAATCACAGTAAAATATGCCAATTGATGTTAATGTATTGGCTCCATAATTTCCTGTACATCGTTAGTTCGTCGACATTTGCTGCATGATGGACTTGTTTGAAAATGGCTTTTGGCATAATTTGCAACTACTGCAAACTAAACAACATTTAGGTTTGTCTGCGGCGAACATGCATCTCTTAATCGTCATGCTTTGCAGAGTAACATTTTAGACTTGCCAAATGTAACTTATTTTCTGAAAGAGGGGCACTGAGTAGCATTTATTCAGTGCTTTTTAAAATCATTTTGTCTTGAAACCAAATATAGTTAGCAGCTCTGGGATATTGGACTATTGTACCACTCGGTACATCCATGAAGACTAGATAGAGGAGGGCAAACTCATAGAGTCATTGCGTCAGAAATGTATTTCAGGTTTTGCGCATGTGGCTTCTCTCTTGTGTCATCACCTTTCTCTCTTTCATGCAGGCGTAGAGGCTTCACTTTTCAGACAGCCACACCCACATTACCAACAGTATTAGCTTCATGCGAATACGTGTCTTCCTTTATGCATTTAGCCTCCTATATCTAGTCTTCATGGGTACATCGGTCGATGTAAAATAAATGTATATCTTAGGATGAGTGTTAATCACCGAAGATGACAATTTGCTCTCATGACGTCTAAATCTATAAATTTAAGTTCTAAAACTTTTTCATCTACGAGCCCCTTCCCTCTTCAGTTGGCCCACTTCAAGATTTGTACCAAAATATGCCTTTATAAACTAAACATGACTTCTAAAATAATTTATTTTCTCAAAAACATTTTATATACACTCTAGTCGTAAAAAATACATATTTAAAATCACTTAGACCTATAACTAATAGAACATCTGAACAAATAAACAATGTGCGAATAAATGCGCGAAGTTAACAAAGCAACAATTGAAAGATTACCATTGGGTAATATCACCTTTATTTTTTATTACGGCTGAAATTCTTTGGAGCATAGTGTTAACCAAGTTTTGGCAAAAAATTGGTGTGAAACAATCCCATATTTCTTAAAGCTTCTGTCTCCGTGCGGTGATTGTACGCGCAGGATGTTGTCGTAGAACCTTTTTCATCTCGTGCAACAAAGTTTTAATAGGTGACAGATCTGGACTGCTAGAAACCCATTTCAAAAGTGGTACATTATTTTCTTCCATTAATTTTATAGCCTTTTTTGAGGTATGGTACGCTGCACCATCTTGCTGAAACACAAAATCTTGGCCGGATGTCAAACAATGTTCCATCACTGGTAAAAGCGATTCTTCTAAAATTGCCAAATATTTGTTTGTATCCACATTTCCATCAATAAAATGAAGTTTTCCTACTCTTTTTGATGACATACTGTCCCAGACCATAATGGACGCTGGAAATTTCACTTTTCTCTTCAGACAGTCAACATGAATGCTTCATTTTTTTTTGCGAACAACTCTACTGCGACTGTCACCAACACAAACTTCGAATCGGGCCTCATCATTCTATTGTATTGCACACCATTATTGAGGTGTCCATTGTCTATGTTCTTTAGCCCATCTAAGCCGATTTTTCTTTTGCAGTGGAGTTAATAGTGGCTTTTCTTTGGCCTATAAACAGGTTGTGCAACTTTAGGGTTTTTACTTCACTTTTTTTAGAAAACTTACCTTTGCAAGAGCTTAATCCCAGTTTGTGGGCATCTCTATGAGTTGTGGACCTCGAAATTCTCCTTCTAACAGCGTCACTCCATAGAGCAATTAATTGTAAATAATTGGCATGCCTGTTTTTCACGGTTATTCTTCTTAATGCTCTTCGGTCGGCATTTGTGATATTACTTTTTTTCACATATCGTTGCTTAATATTAACTGAACCAGGTACGTTATATCTTCTAACAATATTCCTCACACTGTACCGCGATAAGTCTAACAAAGTTGCAATTTCCGAGTTTGATTTCCCAGAAATAAAAAATTTAATTATCAGTAACCGAATTTTCTCACTAATAAACTTTCCTCTACCCATTTTGAAATCCTTAATTACCCAAAACTATTTTAAACGTATTCTGACAGTT